AATATGAATTATATTTTTTTTCTAATTAAAAATTTAAAATAACAAAGGTGTCGTCCCATAAACCATATGTAGCTCTATTTTTGTCACTTTTTGACCCCTTGCTTTCTAAACTGGCTACGTGGATTATGGACGACCCCAAAGAAACATGGAACATATAATTGTAGATTTAACAATTGTTTAAATAAATAATTTTCCTTATGTATTATCACCCTATTCGAAGCGCCAAAAAACATAAATTGTTCTAAATTTGCAAATAACTAAGCTGGGCAATATTAAGATATTTTAAAGATTTAACAATTCAACAACTGTTTAAAATTATCGTTATTTCCTAACTCCACTGTAAAATAAAGGATCTAAAATAGAGCTGATTACTTATTGAATGTTTTAGATATAATTAAGATTTAAATATCATTAGTTATCACTGACAATTAATTCTCTTTATGATTTTTTTTATTTTAAAATTAACAAACATAACCTAAAATTTTTTCCGCGTTAGGTATTTTTCAGCGTGGAGCGTCACAAATAAATCAATTTATCAAAATTATATTCTTCTTAAAAGATAATAGTGTTTCATAATAATCTATAAGATTCTTTGTTAAAGCGAAGACAAAATTTAACAAACTTTGATTTCAATTTTGCTACTTTATTACTTGACACTTTTACTTTTACCTACACAAAAACAAGTGTCTTATTTTGAGACGTTTTGTCCCCATATTTGAAACACATAAATGTCTCACACATTTAGCACTGCATTTTGAGACACAATATGTGTTTCGAGTATCCGTCTCACAGTAAAAAGACGTTTTATGTGTCTTATACGCATTGAGTCACCTTTAATGTTTTAAAATGAGACACGAGATGAAGTTAAATGTCTCAATATAAAACAGATTTTGTATCTTAATGGTTTAAATACTTAAAGTATCTCATTTTAAGACACGAGTGAGATACCAGTTTTTGCAGTGTATTCGATCCGCTATTTTGAATTTTTTAAATCTGGCATCATGTTCGTAATCAGCGACCTCGAAAACCCCCCCAGTAACAAAGTCTAAGCGAATCCAATCATTTTTTAAAATAGTTGTATTTATGTACAGTGTGAGTCAAGCATTGACTCCTTTGACAAGTCTCTAGCACGTCGGATTTACCCGGTAGAATTTCTTAAAAACTACCAAAAACGAGATTTTTGGGACTTTTACTCCCACTTTTCTCAAAATCCTGACGTGATGGGATGTTTTCGTTACCAGATTCGGATTCAGCGCATCAAAAACTAGGGAAATGACTTCTCGATCTCAGACAACGTAAAATTTTTTTGCAGCAAAAGCCTGCAAAAAAATTTTTCTGCAACAGGGCCTGAGAACAAACAGCCACATTTAGGCTTAAATTTCAATCAGACCATTATAGGACCAGGTCGAGCCTAAGTTGGGTAATTTGTTTCATTCCCAAATTGATTTGAAACGTCTTGGACGACAAGGGTTCAATCTAGTCCGATTTGTTTACCGATTGACATCAAAATTATAACCTGGCTGAAAACTGTTTTTGTCCTGAGGGGTCCTATTAGGGGCCAAGTTTAAAAATAAGAACAAATCAGGACCACAGAATTAAACCCAACTTAGGCCTGATAAAAACCAGCCCTTATAAATCCCTGAGTCCGGTCATATATTTTATGTCAAATTTGAGTTCTTCTACACTAGCAATAAAGAGATTATTTCGAATATAAGAATTTAATATTCTTGATATTAAATAATTTTATATTTTTTTTTCCTTCTTGAGTCTGAGTATTATTTTCCTTTTTGAAAATATTATTTTTTTCATATACATTGATTGAGCTCGAATCAGAACGTGAGATCTGTGAACAAGAAATTACAAGTATACAATCGCAATCGCCTAGAAAGTCTAGCCTGTTGCCTTATAGAGGAGGTGCCCACAAAGCTTGCCAACCAATAAAATGTGCCGGCGTAGCGCCGACGCATTGATGTCACGACATCCCCATTCAATCTTTATCGTGAAATTTTTCTGGTTCTGATCAAATCCAAACCTAGCTACGTGACTTTAACTCCATTTTATATACTCAAGATGCAAGTTAAACGTTAAACTCCATTTGTCTAATTATTCCACTTTTGTGTAATAAAATGTTAAAAAAATGTTATATTACATATTTATAGAATTATTTAAACACTTTTATATGTGAATAAACTCTCTTTACAGAATATTCATCTGTTACAATATAATATAATTTGTATTTTGTGTTAATAAAAAATAAAATAAACAAAAAAACTTCAATTTCTATATACATACCTATATGTGTAGATAAGAAATTCTATAGAAAATTATTAGAAAAAATAATGAGAGAGTCATTATATCAATTTACTGATTGTCAATTTGATCCTTAAAATATTCACATATTCATATTTAGAGAGTAATGTATCCTATATTTTATTATATAATAATTAGTACGTTTTCTTTTGTATGTAAAAATTGTATGCAAAATGGTAATATCTCTAATACACTTGTCTATAAAAATTTAAATATTATACTTCAATTCACTTGTTTTTAAAACCATGCATTTAATATTAGGACTTTTATTATTCTTCTATGCATGGAATTTTTAACATTATCATTTTTTTTCATTTAAAAATAACCCAGATAACACGTAAGCTTACGGCAAGCTTGCGGCAAGGTTTCCATGCAATCTCACCAAGCTTACAGCGTAAACTCGCCTGAGATAGCAAATGTCCGCTGTATAGCAAGCTTTCCGTGAAAGGTTCTTGCACAATCTTTCCATGAAAAATTGCTACAAGATTGAAAGGAAAGATTGCTCTAAGCTTACAACGCAAGGTTTTTGCCAACTTGTCTTGAAAGATTGCTACATGCTTATTAGGAAATGTTGCTGCAAGTGTATTGCAAGGTTGTTACAAGCTTGTAGCAAGCTTGCTGTAATTTTTTAAAAATGAGTTTCAAATTTCAAAAATTATTTTTTTTTTTTATTTTTTCAATTTAAAGATGTTTTTGACGTCCATTTTTATTGATTAAGTCTTCCTTGTTTCATTTTAGAACTTAACATTGATGATAAATTTTTGGAAATAAATTCGAAGGTACTGAGAATTGAACCCGAGTTCGACGGACGCTAACCAAAAACCCTAACCAATAAGCTTAAACAACTAACTATCAAACAAAAGAAATCTTGCCTTAAACTTGTAAATGATTTTATGGGTTTCAGGTTAAAGGCAATATTTGTTGTTTGTTTGATAGCTGATTGTTTATTACCTTCGAATTTATTTTCAAAAATTTCTCATCAATGTTAAGTGAATGTCAGAAAGATCTTCAAATTGAAGAAATAAAAAACTAAAATTTTTTTTTTAATAATTTGAAACATATTTTTAAAAAAATTTCAGCAAGCTTGCTACAAACTTGATACAATAAGCTATACTAACGACCTTGCAACACACTTGCAGCAATATTTCTTATAAGCATGTGGAAATGTTTTATCGCAAACTTGCAGAAACCTTGCGTAGTAAGCTTGCAGCAATCTTTCCTTACAATCTTGTATCAATATTTCATGGCAAGATTGCAGGAACCTGTCACAGAAAGATTACAACAACCTTTCATGGAAAGCTTTATTGCTATACAGTAGACAATTTCAATCTCATACAAGCTTGCGGCAATCTTCCGCTGTAAGCTTGGCAAGATTGCATGGAAATCTTTTCTCAAGCTTGCCGCAAGCTTACGTGTTATCTAGGAACAATTAATACTCAATTAAATGTTTATTAAATTAACTGTTGCTTATCTCATGAACTAACAACTTTAACACGATAACTCGAAGAGGTTATAACGAATTTTGCTAAAATTTACCAGGTATATTTATCATAAAAATATCTCGAAATGGATTGATAGACTTTAAAAAATTCTCAGAAAAAATTTTTTTTTAAATTTTTTTCCAAAAAAAAATTTTTTTCACTTTTTTACTGAAAATTTTTTTGTTTATTTAGATTCATATTACTGTATAAGAAAATTTTATTCTTTCTATTAAGAGGAATGAACTTTATTTTATTAATGTTAAATTGTATTAAAAATGATTTAAAAATGAAATATATTTATCGTTAATGCTTCCCCCACGAAGAAGCAAATTTTTTTTGTTGATCGTAAAGAGGAAGCAAAATGTTCATGTAATGAACATCTGGATTTACAACTTGTTTATTAAAATTTGATATTGGGTAATAAATCGGATAATCACAGAAAATCTTTTATGCTTTCTGAAATCACTATTGAATTATATAAAAAGTTACTAATTATAGCCATATAGTGATGAAATATGAAAAAGTAATAAATTCAGTGTTATAGATTCACTAATAAATCAGTACTAAAGTTATTAATAAGTGAGTTTAACTCTCTTAATTTGAGTTAGTTATATATTAACAATTATAGTAATTCCCTTCGGTCTATCTCAATCAGTGCTAGTATTTAATTTATTTGCAGTCATTTTCACTGCAAAAACTGAAATTTAAATGATTTGGGTATAGGGTAAAGTTAATAGTGATTATATAGTGAAATTTTCACCGATTCGGATTAGGGGCGTTCAGAATCACTATGGAATCATAGTGACATAATCAGTCATAAATCATTAATATGATTACTAATGAATTAGTGTCAAAACCACTAATGAATAAATAATACAATAATAAATTAGTGAGAGGATTACAAATAAATCAATATAGTTAATTCATAAACACTAAAATTACTAATGTATCAGTTCTAGAATCACCAGTAAATCTGTTATAGAATCACTAACTTAATGGTGCTGAACCCTAGTTGATAAAAATATTACTCAATTTAACTCCGTATGTACATCTTATCCTATTGTATGAACAACCCCATGTCAGTGATATAAAAAATCCCACAAGAAAATCAACCCTACTCTATTAAAAAAAAGAATAAAAAAAATCGTCTCTGTCATTAGATTGATAAATGAATGCATGAGACACATTGTGTGATGACTCTCTAGACGAATGAAAAAGCAGTATTAACTCTCAATGTGGGAGGTTTAGAAAAGGTGTTTTGTGAAAGAGAGTAGTGAGTGAAACGGAAAAGGTGGTGGAGCGATAAAAAAGAATAAAGAGAGTGAAGAGGGGAGAACACAGAAGAAGAGGTGGATGATCAGAATCAGACTAGATAGCATATAGGATAGTTCGTGAGAAGATGATCCCCTCCACGTGTGGGCGGAGCGTACAGGTAACGTGCACACGTGAAACACCGATGCCATGTGTGCAACCCTGTGTTAGTATTTCGAAGAAAAACCGTGCAGGTAAGGGAACAGACCACTCGTCTAACCGGGGTCAGTCAGGGTCCTGCTCTTCGTTGGGACGCTCGTTCCTTCCATCAGAGAACTGGCCCCAGAGAAGTCGATTCCTTAAGTCACTCCAACAGTTTTCTTTTTTTTCTTTCAAACAAATATTTACACCTCAATTTCCTATCATCATCATCATCATCAACGAACATTCTTATTCATCAACGATACTTGTTTATCATTTCTTTCTCTTTTTAATTCTTGAGAAAGAAAAATCGATATTTTTTGACTTTGGATATTACAAGTGCCGAGGAAAGTTCGATTAGTGTTATTACGTAAGCGAACAAAAAATAGAAGAAGAAAATTAATACACATGCTTTATAATAAGTAGTCTTATACAAGAAGTGTCAAAAAAGTAAAACCGACTGTGAGTTTTGTTATCAAGTTTTGTATGTTCAAGTTCAAGTTAGTGGTGTACACGCAAGAAGACACTTGACATTTGTGGATTAGTTTTTAATTTTGTTTCCTGGAATGATCCAGAGGAAGAGATTTTAAACCCAACGAGAAAATCTATGCGAAACGAGATGTGTGGTGAGTTTTAATATTTTTGATGATTATTAATCCCAAAAATCCTTTAGGGAATAATTTTTTTAAATATTTTTTAATAGCGGTTTTGCATACGGATTTTTGATGCGAAAAGCAAATTTCTGTTTAGATAGAAGAGTAAATAGATCTAAAGAGATCTCAAATTGAAACCAATAACAACATACAAATGCTGCATTATTCTTGAATAAAATTTAGACCATCATAAAAATTGTGTGTCTGACTCCGAAATTTGCTCCGCTTTAATACCCCTTACGACATTGTATTTCTGCCAACATTTGATGCCAATTTTTGAATTCATTGTCAAATTCTGTAACCGTTTACTTGTTCTACACTTTTTGAATCATTAATATCCAATTTTTTTATATTTATTCTTGTCAATGCTATACGTTATGATGTACAACGTGCTTTTTGAATTATTAACTTCTAGATTTTTGACACTAATATACTGTATGATATGTTGTACAACATTCTTTGACGTTCTTAATGCTGTACTTTATGTGAAATAAAAAATGCAGCATTAATAAGATTAGATTAAAAAATTCTAAATATTAATGATTAGAAAACGTGTTGTACGTAAACGTATTTATACAGATTAAATCTTTAGTAAATCAAAAATTTTTTACATGTTGCACAAAATGCATTTCTATGATTAATATTCAGAATTTTTTACACTAATGTTGTTAATGCTATATACGATATATTGTACAACATGCTTTTTAAATTAGTAATATCTAGAATTTTTGACAATAATTAACATTCAAATTATTTATAGAAAGTCAGTTTCAAGCATATTTTTTTAATTTTGGTGTAAACGAAAAAATATTTTTAGACCAAAAATTTATGTTTTTGCATCCAATGTAATGGATTAAAAATCAAACATTTTTTTAGAATCTCAGACTGAGACAAAGAGTAAAATATCGGGTGTTTAAATTTAACTCTACTGACAGTTAATATATAGTTATATAGAGTTATATATATGTAGTATATATATATATATATATCACTGTAAAAAATTTAATATAAAAATTAATATTAAATTTGTAAATTGATTCAAAGGATTTGGTTACATTTACATTTTCAACAATAAAGTATAAGTTGGAGAATTTACAAATTTTATTATTATATTTAACAAATTCTGCAACTCAAATATATTATAACAAATATCCATATGCATTTTATTTAAATTCATATATCATTTCCATACCTCTTTGCTATACAAATGTTCTTTTGAAATCTGCAAATTAGTTCAAAATGCTAAAAAGCCAAGTGATTTTCACTTTCCTTTTCTGTAAAACACGTTTTCTTTATATACTTTTACAGGAGTTATGTTAATTCAATAGTGTATTTTTTCAGATGTATTTTTTATCACTAGAAAAGAAAAGTCTCTTATTATAAAACAAATTTTCATCCAAATTAGTTTGACGAAAATTAAAACAGTATTAATCTTATGTCTGAAGAAATTTAAAAAACCGATTATATAACAAAAAAGAATACCTATATTTTTATTTTTCAGTCAAAAATGAAGACAATTTTTCAAATTAAATAGTTTTTTGTATGTAAATTGACTTTTAATGTTGTATAATAATATACAGTCCGTACAATGAAATGTGAAAAAATTAAGAAAATAATTTTTTGCTCTTTTTTAAATTTTACTGAAAGGAAAGGAAACTCAAAAATTAATAATAATAAAATAATCATCTAATTAACAAATATTCCAATACATTTTAGTTTTAAGCTCAGTATTTAATTAAATAGCATATAAATATTCCAAAAATCAGTGGCATATATTTAATCTTAAAGTAAGAATAATTTTTTCCTTATTGTTTAATTCGCCACCAGTGTGATTTATTCTGTTTTAAAAATTTTTGAATTTACATAATAACAAAAGCGACAATAATGATATTAATAATAAAAATAATAACAAATATTGTAATATTAAGTGTAACAATAAAAATAATTTATTTATTATTTAATTAAATTAAACAAAAATTAAATTCTGATATTTCAAAATTTTTTACTCATTATTTATAACCGAAGATGCATAAAAAATGTGAAGAATAAATAAAATAAAAACAAATTAAGAAAAGATAAAAATTATAATTTTGATCGTTTACTATATATATACTCATCATCAGGGATTTAATTCATGAAAAGATCATTTAAATTAACAGATGTCATCATCATAGGTCGCAAAAGAAATATATCTAAATAATCAAAGTTTCGTTTTCAAAAAATTGTGAATTATTTTCATGCTTGAGTAAATAAAATATTTCATAGTATCCATTCAGACTAATTGATGTAATAATGTTAATAATTAATAAATAATATTCACATTTATATACTAGTGACTTTCTTGATTTCGTTAAATTTTTATTTGTATACTATATTTTATAAAAAATGCATTACTCTAAAAAATTTAAATACTATTGAAACTTAAGAGGAATAAATTTTCTATTTTGTGCTACAATATTATATTATATTTTATTATTTTTTTATAATATAAAAAATTATATTATATTGTATTTGTATAACTATAGTTAAATAATAATATACCGTTTTTAATTAAATGAAAAAAATTAATTAATTATGAACATATATAAATAATAAAATGTATAATATAATTATAAATATTTTTACATCAGAAAATAATGCAATATGATATATATATATTTTTAGACTAAAAATATAATATAAGTTGTTTGTATCAGTCGGTCTACAAATGTTGCTGTAAAGCATTTGGAAACTATTGGAGAAATGGAAAATTCATTTCTATAAAATAAGGATTTTATGAAGTTCGAGACCATCTGTTACAGCATTAACACGATGGAAATTTTTATTATGTTGATGATTTAAAAATAAGTCCCTTCCTTTTCTGAAAAGGTGATATTTGTTAAATTTAACAGATCGATTCTTGTACTTATTCAAAGTATATATTATATGTAGTAATATCATAATTAATAATACGAGTATAATAAAATTTATCTAAAATATAACAACATTATTTCTAATCAATTGACGTGACACAATCAATTGCTTTTATTATTTTCTCATTATTGTTATTAATATTATAATATAATATAACAGCAGTTGAATTTGTCAATATATATTAAAAATTATATATTATATATTAGGGGAGCGCAGTCCTAAGTTGGCCGTGGGCCTAAGTTGGCCACCCTGCATTTTTCAGAGATGGTATACTGGTCGAATCTATAATTTTGTGGTATGATATATTGATAAACCATGATATAATTTATGGACCTAATTTTAATCTAAGATTTTTCTATGCATTGTGAGGACAATAATATTGTTTACGACCAAAAAAATTTAATTTTTCTTTTTTTTCGAGAGCAGCTACAAGAGATAAATAATTAAAAATTTCTAAATGAGTGTGTGCGCTAGTTCCTTTATTTAATGTTGTAATAAGAGGTTCTGTTGATTTTTTAATTAAATTTTGTTTATTAGCGTAATAATTTGAAACTTGTAAAAATCTACAGTGGTCCTAAGTTGGCCACCTATTGTTTTTGTTTGTTTTTATTTAGGTTTTACATCTTTTTTGTGTTTTTCATCACAAGAAAGACCGTAAAAGTGTAACGTAGGAATTAAACAAAGACAAAAACAAAAAAAATGGTTTAAAAAACATTAGAAAAGACATAGTACAAAAACGCCTATCTCCACAGCCATCCACCACTGCAAATAAATTAAATAAAATAATGCTTCATTTTCTAAACAAAAATAGTTAAATAATGCGTTTTTATTCTCCTAAATGTATCAAATTTGTAAAATTTCTGCGTAATTGAAAAGAATATGCATTTCTTCCTTATACACAAGCGAAAAAAAGTGGTGGCCAACTTAGGACCGCTATTTCTGAAATGTCCAAAATGCAGCTTTTCACTATTTATTGTATTAAGACTACAAAAGCCATTCTAAAACGTTCTAAATACCACAAAATTATAGCAAAACGATCTCTGAACACTAATATATACTTGCCAAAGTGATTAAATTTCATTTTGTTACTATTTTCGAGCAATTTGCTTAGGCGGCCAACTTAGGACCACTCTCCCCTATATATTTAAATTATTATTATTATTATTATTTTTTATTTATTTTTTTTTGCTTTGGGACTTTTGGGAAATCTGCCTACAGATACCTTGGATTCCGCACTCCAAGATTATGTGGGGTTGGTAAAATGAAACAAAAGGAAATATTAAAAAAAAAGATAAATAAATAAATGTTATAATAAATATTTAATAAACTGGCGACCTACTACCAGCCCGACCCACTAAAACCCGTAACCCTTCTTCTGGAGCCCTTTCTTAAAAGATTAAGAATTAAAATCTTAGCACGTGGAATATATTTTATGATAATAAATCTTATTCACTATTAAATAAGTTATTTTTATCTCAAAATATTGGCATTCAATATATGCTAATTAAAAAAAGACACTATGTATACCAATAAGTTAATGCGAAGCAAACTTTAAATTCAAAGTGGTTCAAAATTTCCATACAACACAGTATTAACCTTCAATTATTTCCACCTTTGAAATAAAAAATTTCTCTCCGGTAATGTATATATATATATTGTTATAATTATTATAATATATTTAGTTTTTAATAGTCAAAGAATATATTTACAATGTAAAAGAATAGTTTGATTTAATTTAAATGTATACATATGTATGTTTATTAATATGTATCACAAATTAAAATATTGAATTGATGAAATCAAATTAAACACCCAACGGTTTATTTGTAACAGAAATCTTATAGGCTTAAAATTATGAAATTCAGTAAAATATTCACCTGTGACACAAAATATTTTATTGTCTAAATTCTGGGATTTGTTAAATAGACTTTATACATATTATTGGAACAGATTTCTGTTGTACATATTTTATATTAATCTACAGTGAGAAGTCAAAAAAATTCCAGAAGAAATATTATGTAATAAATTTTAACTGAGTAAATTAAAAAATATTAAAAATGATAATAATTATTATTCTATACATATTAATTTAAATTAATTATTTCGTTAATATTTTTAACATTTTGTTAAGAATCGTTTTTATTGTTAATATTGCTATTAGTATAACAATAGTTATAATTATTATTTTATTTGTATTTTTTTATTCTTTATTAATATTATTTTTTATTTCATTGTTATTTTTTATATTATCATAATGTCGTTAGGCAAATCTTAATTTTAAAAATCTAACAGCGAAAAGCTTTCATAACCACATGAATGTACAATAATTTTTTTACAGTAATTTGATGCTTGAGCGCCGTTAAAAGCTTTAATTGTCTTATTAGCAGATTGTTGGAGATAGGCGCGCAACCTATTTTGCCGTGCCGTCTATAAAAATAGAAAATAAATATAAATGAGTATATATTTAATAGTTTATATAATAAGTATGTAAAAGTATTCGATTTTTTTATTTGACATTGAAATATAATGAAAAAATATCCCACTGGAAAGCGTCATATAAAAAAAAATATGAAGATAAATTTTGTTTTAAATAATAAAAAATGTTTAGAAAATAGAGTTTACTAAATAACTAAAATTTTTTTTGAGTTAAGAAGCTTCCTTTGAATTAAAAAAAACTTGATAATTTCTAAGCTAAGAAAATGTTCTTTGATTTTTTTAAGTAAAAATATTTTCTTTGAATGAAAAATTATTTTTTACCTAAAAAAACTTTTTTTGAATTGGAATAAATTTCATTAATATGAAAATTCTTTTTCAGCACTGAAGAAGCTTTTTTTAAATTAAAAACTTCAGTTGAGTTACAAAAAAGCTTCAATTAGTTTGAATTTTATCGATTTTATAATAATTTAATTATTTAATGATTAGATTTAAAACAACTTTTTTTAAATAAGAGAACCTTTTTTCTAAGTGTAAATAATATATCACTGAACTAAAAATCTCTCTTTAAGGCGTACTTGCGTTTGCGAAGGCAAAAAATGGGCCCCACTTAAATGTTTTTTTTTCACAGTCATTTTATTTAAAATATTAAAAACGATTTTTGCACCTTAAAGTACATTATAAAAACTAAAAAAAGAAAAAATTGTTTCGTTTTTTAACCGTTATTTACGATTCGTAGAGTGCCTCAAAAATTGTCGATCTCAAATTTGTAAGAGTTTGCGGTGCCCCGCATAGAGCCTCTCCTGACTGTCTAAAATCAAAAAAACAAAATTTATTCTTTAGTATACATTAATACCTAGTGGACGTATATGATGAATTTAAAAAAAAGTAAAAAAAAACGAAAATGCGGTACTTTTAAAGTCAAAAATTGAAAAGATCAAAATCATCATTTCTTAAAAATTGACTTTAAAGGACCGCATTTTCGTTTTTTTTAACTTTTCTTTAATTTCATCATATACGTCCACTAGGTATTAATGTATACTAAAGAACAAATTTTGTTTTTTTGATTTTATACAGTCAGGAGAGGCTCTATGCGGGGCACCGTAAACTCGTACAAATTTGAGATCGCAATGTTTGGGGCCCTCTACGAATCGTAAATAACGGTTAAAAAACGAAACAATTTTTTCTTTTTTTAGTTTTTATAATGTACTTTAAGGTGCAAAAATCGTTTTTAATATTTTAAATAAAATGACTGTGAAAAAAAACATTAAAGTGGGGCCTATTTTTTGCCTTCGCAAATGCAAGTACGCCTTAACCAAAAAATATTTTCTTCTTTCCGTTGAAATTAAAAATTAAAAATTTTGTTTGTAATAGAAAAATCCCTTTTTTGAATTAATTTTATTAAAATTTTACATAAATATATATTTCTATATATTTTGATGAAACGTAGGTATATATATATATATATACTTATTTGAACTAGAAACCATTATAAATTTTTATTTCTTTTATTATATTTGAACAACCACACTCGATCAACGTTTGATATTATATTCAATGTAATTTTGTTAAGTAAACTTTAACTGGAGCATAAAAAGTTTATTCATAAATCAATATACACTTTACATTCGTCATTTCTGATGATTATGATGATGATAATGATAATGTTAATAATGATAATAAAAGAAAATGAAGAGAGCGCCCACACGTTAAGGAATATGTCAATTAAATTCACTTTAGTTATATAATTGCTAGTAAGATAATTAACAAATATCACATTTCCATTTTTCTCAAATTTCTTCATTTTCTTTATTATTAATATCATCACTATTTTATTATTATTATTATTATTATTTTTAATGTATGTATTTTTATGTATATATGTATTTTTCATTTTATTATTCCGTTTCAATTATAATTTCAAAAATTAAATAATTTCTTTTTTGATGAACAGATTTAGTATCAAATGTTAATTTACAAAAATTATTATTAACGTTTGAATTTATTTATAACTAATTTAATTTGCAAACTTAAAGTAATGTTTTTACTTATTGGTGGGCATATTTATCAAGTTTTTGAATTTTTTAAGAGGTGTTATTTTTACACATATATATCGTGAAAATATAAAAAATTTGAATTTTTTTTCAATATTCTAAAAAAAAATTTGTTACTTATCTCAGAAATACATGAATATTTTTTTCGTGAAAGATAACCTTCGAAATGAAATAATTATTGGATTTTCAATTGTTGTAACAAGTGCAAAAAAACAAATCTACCTGTATTGTTCTCTCAACCAAAGCGTAGAGAAAAATTTCATGTGTCACTTGTTTAAACTAAGAGAAATCAAAATATAAGATAACAATATATGTTTTATTAGTTGAATTTAAACGCGCGAAATAACATTTCTTGATCAAAGGCATAATATGCAATCTCATTTCCGTGAATTTAATTTTAGAATTCATTATTATATAATAATTTAATTTATATAATGCTTGTAATGGCAATAAATGTATTACTCTAATAATAATAAATTAGAATTGATATTATAATTCTTATCAATTGAGACATTAAATTAAAAAAATTTAGACTTGATTTTTTTTCTTATTGAAAAAATAATGTGCCATTTGAAATAATATGTAAAAATTTGGCCTATTTTTTTAATTTTCAATTTAAATTTTCTGATAATAATTTGCTTCTATTATAATTAGTTCTAAAATAATTTCAAAGCAAAGCAATATTGAAATAAACTAATTATCGAAATTTGTTTATTACTTCTGATAATTTTCTTTTGATGCGTATGAATGCAAATAAAATGGATAAAATCAGAAAATAGTTTTCTTCCGGATTTTCAAAACGAAATTATCGCCCTTTGTGTCAATACATATTTTTTAACGATTTTGCTGTATTATTTTCATTATTGAGCTTTGCCATTAATGGAAATCGTCTCACACACACACACGACATTATAAAGCTCATCGTCGGGGACAATCACGTCCCTTCAACATTGGATGATATTATATATCTTTCTATCTAATCATTTTGAACGATGCACGCACTTTGATATATCCAATTCGTTTCACTTTTTATTTCTTCCTCCATTTTTGTATATATATATATATATATATTGACGATTATTTTCCTGCGATAAGGTAAGAAAACAATGCCCTTTTTTATTTCAAAAATCTAACGATTTTCTCGTCCCCTAATTGTAATTTCTTCCAATTAAATAAATGCGATGATGTAAAGTGTGCACGCAGCATTATGGTATATTAGTGGGAAAAAAGTTATCGATAGTTTAGAAATATTTCTTTATTTCCCTTTATACTGTTTTCTTTTCTTGCACGGAAAAAAAGTACAACTGAAATGGAGAAATTTTTCGCCATAACAGCTAAACATTTCGTCAAAAACGAGCGAGCGATATTGGCATTATCGCTAGAATCGCGATATTGAATTTTACTTGAAAGACAACCTAACCCTAAAATTATTTTTAATTTTTTTCAATTGTATGTTTCAAATTATAACCATATGAAAGTAAATTATTGAAATTAATACTGTTTTAAAACTAAAAAAACACAAAACTGATATTTATGCTGTCAAAAAAATTTCTGGGTAGGAGCCGTAGGAGCGGTAGGTTTCCATAAACATCAAATATGGCTGACGAATTGCACTCAACCAAAGTTCACTATCACTGAATTGGCTAAACTTTCGGCTAATGTAGTTAAGCTTAATTCCAAACGTGGGTTATGTTGTTCTTCATTTTAATTATATTCCCAATATTGCTCGTTTGCGTCATCAAATTTTTTTCCGTGTGCAAATTTTAACTTACATTGCGTATATAGATATCTTTGAATTGAATGCATATTTCAATAGTACGAAAGGAGTTTAAAGAGGAGTGAAACGCAAGTGTGGAGTGGGGACAAAGAGAGCAACAGAGAAAAACTGCGATGTCTCGCTCACTCTCACTGCTCTACTCCAGCGCCTGCGCTCTGAATTTTTTTTAATTACAACGATTCAGCGGCAATTTAATTGGCTACTTAAATATGCGATGTAAATTCTGAAAATAAATCCACCTATACAGCTGATGTAAAACTGAAAATAAAAATTGTTCTTTTCTGATTAATTGCAGAGACAGTGTCGAGATCCTGGTACATAAAACCAGAATTGCACTGCAATCCGGTGGGTGTTCCAGCGGGAGCATTGTCGCCGCCAGCGACACTCTCGCCACCCAACAGTCCCAGTGTTTTACCACCTTCACCCTGGAGTCCAGGTGGCATTGGTAGCAGTAGTTCGAGCAGTACCATCTCAAATCCATCCACCTTGAGTCAACCAGCCCAAGATCGACTCAGCGCGTTCACCATTGTTTCCGGATACAATCCGGAACTACAACGTTTTCCCACTCTACCCGTTTCCTCGCAAGCTGCCTCACGAGGTTTGTTTACTATTTAGATACAAACAATATTTTTAAACTTTATATTTTTTCATTTTATTATTTTTTACTTATACTTTTAATTACTTTTTTACACGACAAAAAAGTTTCACCTGGAAGAGCTATAAGTTTCTCTAGAATAGCGATTTACTGATATTTTTAATTACTTGTTATATTTATTTTCTATTTTTTATATTTCCACTTCTTTTCTATTACTTTTCACCTAATTTTAATTATTTTTTATTATTTATTACATTTTTCAAATTTTCTCATTGTTTCCCTTTTTTTATAAATTACTTTTTATTTATTAATTATTTTTCTTCTTGTATTTTTTATTTTTTAATTTCTTTTTTCACTATTCTTTTTATCAATTCATTTTTGTTCACGATACGAGTATATGATCCATAATATTATTTGTAATAATCAAAAAAATTTTGACGTTCCAGGTTTTAAAAAATATACATATTATTTTCCATTTTGATTTCATAATCTATATATCTATAAAAAAAAGTATGTACACAAAAACAATATTTCGTAAATTCACGCAGTTTACACACCTGCAACTTTTACTAACTTATTAATTTTATTCTTTCTTTTGACAGTGTTGCCTGATACAAATTCTAAACGTGATAATAGATAATGTTTTCTATTTTCTACAATTCATTACATTCTGGTATAATATAAATTTCATGTTTTTATAGAAATCTTTCTCTTATATTCTACTAGTTTCTCATTTTACTTTTTACTAAAGAAGTTCTTAATAGACAATAAAATATCATGCTTATTTTATAGATAAATTTGAACATGTGAATATTTGGGAAATTATCAATTTGTATGTAATGTGAGTAAAATCGTGGGATGAGGGGGAGGAGGAGAAATTTTAAGTAGACATGAAGCAAAATGTGTAATTTGTAGCCCTTAATCCCTGTACATACATATTATAGCATTCTGCGTTTTTTCAATGACTTGATTCTTATGTTACAGAAATGCGTTGCGGTTTAATGTATGGGGGATATGCGGCGAGTACTGCATGGTGGGCCCACCATGCTGTAGGCCTTCTGTTACCTCATTCCCTCATTCCTCCAAGAATCCCCTCTCAACAGACGAACATCACCAGTTCACCGGTTCATCCTGAGCCTCTGAGTCCTGCGAGGGCCACATCACCCCGTAGATGTACACCAGAAAAAGCGAAATTCGGTGAGTACTTGCAGCCCTCCTTTTCTCTTGACTTCATCGCATTTTATTCAAAGAGGATTTTTATTTTTGGTTACAAATTTTTTTCAAAAATTAGTACTGTTGATTTAAAATTTTTAAATTACTTTGCTCCTTTTAATTTAAAAATTTTCTCCTCGTTCATTAAGTGTAAGTCCAAGTTGTGAAATGTAAACAAACCAAAAGGTAAACAAACCAAACACAAAAATCGCACTTTTGTATCAGCCATTTCTTCTACAAAAATTAACATTTTTACACTTTCTCTACAAAAATGGAAAGTGTTTGATTAGGGGAGACTAGGTGCAGTTGTTACAATTTTGATAAAAACAGTTACTGTAATTAGAGTTTAACTCCAATTTGTTTCGTCAAACATTAAATCAAAGGTATATTATCTAGTTTAAAAAGGCCATAATTGATTTAGCTCTATATCTATTATTTAATTAACTAGAATCATTTGAGTGACAGCGTGTAAATTGTAACAACTGCAGAAAGTGAATGTCGGTTGTTACAATACCAAAAATCATCTATAAAATTTCTAAATTGAAGACAAATAATTTTTTATAACCATTTTTATTAATTATTTTTAATTTTTGACTCAACGTAATAGTATGTGACAGTTCCATAGAGATGGCAGCATTAATATTGTTTCGAAATGAAAGAAACTTAAGAGGAAGTGACACCTTTGACCCGAAAAAAAAATCGAATTTTTTTTTGTTGCTTAAACGATACTTTATAATGTGTAGAATAGAAATTATATCATTAGAGATGATTTCGAAGTTATTTTATGTGAAAAAAATCAAAATCTGCAAAAGGTGTCCAAGAGCGCTTCAAGTGCTTTCAAAACTTTAAACGCGTTTTTCTCGAAATGACGTTTTTCAAAACGGTGGGCAGTCTAGCTAGGAACAGTTTTGATCGGATTGACTTCGGACAAAGTTTTTTTTGATCGTCATTTACTATAATGCTTTCGAGTACGTAGCGGATTTTTTTTGGTTTCTTTTTTTTTTTTGGCAACAGATTTTTTGACAAATTTTCGCCCTAAAAATCGACTTTTTACTTCAAACAACTGCTAAATACACCAAAATTAATATTTTTAAAATATCCTACGTACTTGAAAGCTAAATCTATCTCAGATTCAGAAAAACTTTGAATTTTTGATTTAGATTAAACGGTCTAACCGGAATCTTGCCCACCGATTTGCTCTGCAGAGAAAGGAGACCAACTTCGGCGCCCTCTATAGACAACAAATTTAAACTTTTTTTACGAATAAATAAATTTTTGTAAACTTAAATAGTTAACAAATAAATCCCTCAAAACCAAATTTTGTTTACTTTATTCCCGTGTCTTAAAAAAATTCATGAAAAACCGGTTCAAAAGAGGCCTCAAGGTGTCACTCCCCCTTAAAAATTTTTTTTTTATTAATTTTGAAGACGAATTTAGAAAAACCATGAGATTTTTCATAAGAAATGAGTGTGATTACATTTTTGACAAATATTTTACATTTCAAACGAATCTGCTGAATTTTGGAAAAAATATCCGTTCTCATTATCACTTGTAACAATTGCACAACAGGTACATTTTTTACAATAAAACACTTTATTAAAAAAGTATACACTAAATGTGGACAACCAAGGCAGTTTTTTAAAGCTTAATCCTCATAGAATTGATATTAAAAAAATTTACTTTGTTAAGTACAAAGGTCTATTAATTATTTAACAAATATCAGGCAGAGAAATATTTACTTTTGGCCTCTAAAAACCAATGTACTTATTTTTTTACTTGTAAAGCTTGCATATAATTTTTTAACATATTGCAGTAAGTTCGTACATAAAAACTAAACATTTTTCTCTTTGGAACCCCATCTCTATAACTAACTGTTTCTGAGATATTCCATTTGCACAACTGCACAGCATAACAACCGCACCTAGTCAATGCATTCTTAGTAAGTTCTGCGCATGCGCAGAGAGCAAAAAAGTCTCAAGTCGCCAAAAATTAAATTGTTTGACTATATCAACCGCATGGACGATGAAGAAGGTTTTACCCTTTCCCTTGTAATTTCAAGGAGGAAAGGGAAAAATTTCTCTTTCCACATGTTGAACGTCCAATCGCTCTCTGGAACTTCTTCATCATCCGTCCGGTTGATATAGTCAAACAGTTTTATTTTCGCAACGCGTCAAAAATGCTATTTTTCAGGTCATTTTAATTAGTTATTTTACTAATTGCTTTTTATTGCTCATAGTCAAAAATGATTTCATTGGACATTTTGACACTCTAATTTTCTATTTTTGTAAAGAATGTGTAAAAATATTAATTGAGGCCTTGGATCCAATAACTCGCCCGACGCTCGAAGACACGCGCTAATACCAGTCGGGTAGCAGTGAGAGGCCCAGAGGCGCTCACTGCTCACTGACTGGCAGTTGCGCGTTCCTCCGAGCGTCGGGCGAGTTATTGGATCCAAGGCCTCAATTTTTGTAGGAGAAATGGCTGTTACAAAAGTGCGATTTTTGTGTTTGGTTTGTTTACCTTTTGGTTTATTTACATTTCACAACTTTGACATACCCTTTTTTCCGCCAAAGGACTTTCCAAAGTATCGTTTCCAACCCAATGGGAAATTTACAACTGGCGTAGTACTGCGCCAGCACTGGCAGCACTGGCGGCAAGGCTGAGAGCCAGCACTGGCATGGCACTGGGATGATAACGCCGTCTGGCGCTGCCGAAGTACTGTCTGTCAGTGCTGCCAGACAGCGCTGGCGCAGCACTGGACCAGTGCTGGCTGAGAATATTGCCGCAATAAATGCCGTATTGCTATTAATTAGTCGTAAATTCATAATTATAAATAATTTAACAACAAAATGGTAAATAATATTAATAAATAGTTATTATTCATAAAATATTTCTCTTCTTAAAGAAATTGTATTAAAGATGGAGACTAACAATGGATATAGTAAATGAAGTAGAAAAAAATTGTTTATAACATTTAAAAATTAAATAATAAACAATTACAGTAAGTGTGCATTAGATTTTCATATTTTAGTACCTAACGATTGGAATCTAGAAATATCGCAAACCTATGAAAATAAACAAAATTGCTGACGAGGGGAATCGAACCGACGACCTACGGACCAACAGACTAACGCTCTAACCACTGTGCTAACGACACGTGTGTACAGTAAAGTATTAATATCTCAGTATCATTCAGACATACAACTATTGAGTCAAAGATGAGAAAAAAATTGGGACACGTTAGAAATAATAAATTGAAATAAAATAAATTAAACTAAATTTTTAATAATTAAATTAAATTACTTTACTTATTGCATTTAACATTTTACGTAATTCTTAAATTACGTGGTAATTTTTTAATAATTTTTTTTTCATAGTAAAAGAAGTATAATAGTATTTTAATAGGAACCAAATTATTATTGACATTAAAGTTTAAATTTTGTTTATAATTTTAATTTGTTTAAATAATTTATTATTTACAAAATTAGACAATTGTGTTAAATTGTTATTATGAAATTTAATAAGAATAAAAAATGAACAACTGAAAAGTAAAATATTAATTTTTTTTAATAAATTTATATTTATAAACATTGATAAACTTTTTTTATAATTTTTTTCAAGTTTATGTCAAAAAAGCAATGTTGGCAAAGAGCGTTGTGAACAATTTTTCTATACTCAGCCAGCACTTGCCGCCGTGGCTTGTCCAAGCTTTGGCGAAACAAAAATTCTGTACTGCGCCAGCACTAATTGTCGAGGCTCGGCTAGACTACGCCGAACAATCGTCTGAGTACTAAGCCAGTGGTGAACATCGGCACTACACTGGCATTTCCCATTGGGAATATACAGAATAATAAAGTAGAAAGACAAATTCGTAAATTCAAATCGACTTGCTCTCTTGAATATATTTAAAATTTTCAATTTCACGTTTCTCCTTTGTGTTTCACTTCCGCCCTTTTCTGCCCAAATGATATGAACGATTACTGTCACTCGATATATTTTCAAATGTAATATTTTTTTGGTCTCATCCTGCTGCTGGGATTTTTTCCCCTGATTTATTTTAACAGAGAATTTTTCGTTTCTTTGATTTTCTTTCGTCCCTTTTTGTTTCGTAGTAATATAAATGCGGGCAGGTACTTTATTTACTTTCCTTTGCCCTCTCACTTACACCTTTCTCGTTCCTCTTCTCCTTCTGGCACGCTCGCATGTCGCCCACCTGTCGGCAAAAAGAATCGAGAAGCCACCGTAAATTCACTTTAGGACAATGCCTTCTTCTTCTGATTCTTTTCTTCTCATCGTCTATTTCTAAAAATTCACTTCCAAATTTTAATCTACGTTTCTTCTACATCCATAATATTTATTTTGACGCGATTCCCAGAGCGTTTCTCTATATTTTCTAAAAAATAAAATCCCGACTCAAAATATTCTGTTCTTTTTAAATGAGACGTTGATCACAAAACCACTTTTTCTCCCACTTGCCCTTAAATGAGTTTAATATTTAATATATTATGTGACGCGCTCCAAAAAAAGGTACCTAAAAGGCAATAAATTTTAGGTTATGTTTGTAAGTTTTTGAATGAAAATTCAGAAAGGGGATCAACTCACAATATAAACCACTAGTCTTCATTAAATTCAAAATATTCAATTAATAATAATAATAATAATAATAATAATAATAATAATAATAATAATAATAATAATAGAAGGAAATAAATTTATCATTCGGTAATTAAATATTAAAGTTGAAAGAAGTTAACAATTTTTCCGAATCAATCTCACAAATAAATAAAGTCTCTTGATAAGCTCATGGGTTTCATACACGGAAAAACCTTTAAGCAGTCTGCTCACCCGAAACTTATGCGTCAGCGCCACCACTAAACTTGTTCATCTGCACTCCCAAACTGGGTGACCAACGTACTCAGTTGTAATTTTCTAAACTTTTTAGGAAGTTTGTCTATCGAAAACGGTAATGCTACGCACCCAGTGGCGGGCGATCAGACTTTCCATGCAGTGAGAAGCGAAATTTTGTGACAGTGGGAAGACAGACTTCTCAAAGGTTTTTCCGTGTATGTATCGACAGCACAGTTGCCCTAATCAGCATGGTGGGATCCTTAAGAAACTTCCTACATTATCATTGAATAATGTAGGAAGGGATAGTATACGTCAAGGAACTCGGAGTGCATGTAGCTCAGTGGTCAGAGTAGTCTACCGCGGCAATAGAAAGATCGTGGGCTCGTATTCCACAATGCTACCGTTTTTTCTGAGTTCTTTGATAATTTTGAAATTATGAATTAATTTCGAAAATATTTCTTAGATTAAGCAGGTTTCTGTATTAGGGCAGCTGTGCTGTCGATACATATGTAACCCATGAGCTTATCAAGAGATTTATTTAAGAGATTTTATTTATTTGTGAGATTGATTCGGAAAAATTGTTAATTTCTTTCAACTTTAATAAAATAATAATAATAATACAGTTTATATTTAAAGATACGAAGCAAAGAAATAGAGATGAAAATTAAAAATAAGAATTTTCGAATTACAGATGAGGAAGCACCGTTAAATTTGAGCACAAAACCCAGTGATGTTTCTTCAACGAATAGTCGGAAGAGCGAAATCTGGTCACCTGGCTCCGTCTGCGAAAGAGAAGCAAGAGAGACGAGGGTACCCTCTGATCAACATTCCCCTTCGGCAACGACGCCGGTAATCACTAGACAAATTCACCACTCCCCCCTCACACCACCCTCGTCATCCGAGAGAACCTTTCAGGTAAGTTACCAAAACTTTTTTTTACCCTAAATTCATTCATTTTTTATAAACTTTCCAGCCCTCAAATCAACGAGTTCCATAGGAAACAAAACACATTCAGTAATTTTTTTTGTATTTTATAAAATAATTTTTGTTTCTATTAATTATTTTAAGGTTTTTAGTTTGGTAATTACCAAATATTTAATTAACTCTTTAAATTTAATAAATTCTTAAAAATTTAAGGAACTTTCTTTAAAACTGAAATTTAAATGAATATTCCGCAAAGTTTAATGAATCATTTTTTAAAGGGCCTAGCGGAGTAAGCATGTAAAATCGGCCCCCGCTCAAAAAAATTTGAAATTCTTGTTACATGTTGTTAGCATTAAAATATAATTTTTCACCAAATATTTTTTCAAAAAATGCATTTTTGTAAGAGTTATGGAGGGGAAAAGGAAAATAAAAAATTTGTTTTTTCTCGAAAACCACTGGATCAATTTGAATGAAATTTATACGTGTTTTTGATTAGCTCAGTCGTCTCGCTTGGCGGACGTTTTAGAACCAAGGGTAAGTACCCTTGGTTCGCGCCCATTTGGCTTGGTATTTTTCCGGCACGTGAGATAATCTGAGCGGGAGGTTTGACGTCGAGGTACCGTCGATTATTGTCCGGTACACACTATTAGAACTAGACTGTCGATAAACCGGTTGTATTCAGGAGAGGTTTTCTACAGTTTCCCTCTCCACTGTCGAGAAAACCCATTAGATGGGTGGTCCAGGCAAATGCGAGTACTCCTAATTTCAAGTCGTTCTGTAGACGCAAAATTTAGCATTAAGTTTAATAATGAGGAAATTTGTAAAGAAAATTACGAAAAATGTATAAACACTTGTACCCAGGCGGAAATTTCCAACCGGCACGGATCCTAGCCCGTACTGACGCCGGTGTAACTGTACTGGCTCGGAACCGCCTGCCAACCGAATGTGAACGGGCATTCTACCGAATAGTGACTAGGCCAGGAGCGCGCTGGCAACCGGCTCGGAACTGGCATTCTACCGCCCGCTGACCGGCCGGGAGAAGCCGTTCCGTGTATAATTCAACCGGCTGGGACCTGGCACTCTACCGACCGTGGATTTTTCATTTAATAGCCAGCCGAGCGCTGGCATTCTACCGACTGACAACCGGGTCGGATCCAAATGATAATTTCAACAAATATCAATACAAAAAATAATAATTAATTGCAAAAGATAAATACTAATGACAATTCATTGACAGTTCACTTTACACATTTTTTTATACACTTAAACGCAATTTTTTATTACATAGACATTTGAAAAATCCTAACGCTTGGGGGTACGAACCTACGCCTAACCGAATATTTACACACCGAAATCTCGCACGCTAACCACTATGCTACGCTCGCATGGGACTCTCAAACCTTAAATGCTTTCAAGTCTCACTAGCTCAAATAAAACTTGTCGAATAACTACGCGTCAATGCTACAGCTATATTTTTATTATTATATAATATATTAAATAATTGTATCTCAATATAATAATTTTGAACATAATAATATTAATAATTTTAATTAATATCACAATAATAAAAAATTTATTATCATTGAGATATTATTAATTAACATTAATTTTATTGAGAATTAATAATAAATTATTAACATGAATATTAATATTTATTAATATTTATTAATATTAATAATTTATTATTAATTCTCAATATTATTAATTAATAATATCTCAATAATAATAAATTTATATTAATATTATAAATTTATTTATAATAATTATAAAGTATAAGTGCACAACAAATTTTTTTAATTGTTTAATTTTGAAAAAAGTCTCAATAAATAATTACTTAATATTTTAATTAAATTCATTTATTAATTAATCATTATTTTCTAAAATAATGCAATTAATTATTGTAATAATTATTTAGTTATGACACATTTATTGAAAATAAATTTATAATGTGATTTATAATGTGACAATAAATGACGACATCCGCAGTCGGATCCGGCCCAGCACCGAGCCAGTACAGACTTAACATATCCGTCATTCTTCCGACGCCGCAGAAGAATAAGATCCGCCGGCGGAAGAAATCCAGTACCGAGCCAGTACTGACAATAGTGGGAAGACGGATCCGACAGTCGGAGCATAATCTGTACCGCGCCGGTTGCTTTTTCAGATCCGAATCGGTACAGACCGTCGGTACTTGCGCTCTGTACGGGCGCGGATCCCAGCCGGTTGTAAATTCCGACATTCGTCCGACTTTTCCGCCTGGGTATAGCCAAGTATGTAAGGCTGAAGACAGGTGTACAAACTAATAAAATATACGTGGGGCAAAATTTCTCAAGTGTACCAATGTCAAAATTGCAAGTTGTTGGATCGGGCTAATATTTTCACAGTATTTAGTACTATGTATGAGTACTTAAACCACTAAGTATTATGAAATTTTATAAAAAAAATTGTAGAAGGGGGAGGGGGTTGAAGATTTTGGATAAGTATGAACAGTGAGTTTTCTAAAAAATCGTAGCTTCTATATTATAAAGTAAAAAAAATTTTGACCTTTATGTTTTTAGTAGGTTTTTTCACGCTCTTTCAAATGGTAAAAAAATTTTAAAAAAAAATTCAAAATTTAACCCTTTTTTTTTAAAATTAAAAATTTTTTTTTCAAGAAGGACCCTTTTTTTCCTTTTTTTCTGTACCAAAAGAAAGCTTAAGATGTGTACTTTCAATAACTAAATCGAGAAAAATGACGTTTTTTTTGTTTTCAAATTATAAATTATTTAATTAATAAAAATTGAAATATTTTACAACAAAATAAAGTTAACGCAATTCTGAAGTTAGTACTGTAAAGCACTACGAAATCCGCATCTAACGAGTCCAATATAAAGTATTTTGGATAAATTGACGTTTTATAAATAAATATTTATAAAAATTAATTAACAAATGAATATTATTTATAAAAATAAAGATAAAGTGTTAGTTTTTTTTAAACAAATGTTTATACAATTATACTTTTAAAAAAATGTATTCCAGTTATTTGTAATAATTGTTTAAATAAAATATTCAACACGTCCCAGTGAGAAATTGCCAATAGACTTTAATCGGTCCAATATTGGTTGCCGTGCTGGGCGCCGATTGACTCCCAATATTGGACCAATATGGGCTGATGCTTGGGATGTAACGGGTTCGCCAAGCATCGGTTGTTAATATTGGTCCAATATTGGCCGAATATTGGCAACCAAGAGAAAAAATTTTTTTAAATAAATTTTTTTAATTTAATAATAATAATAATAATAAAAAATTAATGTTTCTAATTTTTGTTTAATATATTTATTTGTTTAATTATTTATTTTTAATAATTCATGTAATTAATAAATAATTTATTATATATAAATTATAATTATTTAAAAATGCAGCAACTATTAGGAAATAATCGAAATAGCATTCTGCAAAAAAATTCTATCATTGAAAAATCAATGATAGGCGAGAGATATCTGCGTCATTAAATAGATTCGCAGATGATAGGCAAGAGATATCCGCGTCATTAAACAGATTCGCAGATATACTCTGGTCTCGCGACGAATCTCTCGATACTTATATACACTGGAGTCGCCGTGTCAGTTGCGAGAACGGTTACAGCGTCCCTCTTTCGGCAGAGATAAGAATTGTCACGTAAACTGCTAAATCGCTTTACCGACGGCCTTATTATACCCGCAGTTTACGTGACAATTCTTATCTCTGCCGCAAGAGGGACGCTGTAACCGTTCTCGCAACTGACACGGCGACTCCAGTGTATATAAGTATCGAGAGATTCGTCGCGAGACCAGAGTATATCTGCGAATCTGTTTAATGACGCGGATATCTCTTGCCTATCATCTGCGAATCTATTTAATGACGCAGATATCTCTCGCCTATCATTGATTTTTCAATGATAGAATTTTTTTGCAGAATGCTATTTCGATTATTTCCTAATAGTTGCTGCATTTTTAAATAATTATAATTTATATATTATAAATTATTTATTATTTACATGAATTATTAAAAATAAATAATTAAACAAATAAATATATTAAACAAAAATTAGAAACATTAATTTTTTATTATTATTATTATTAAATTAAAAAAATTTATTAAAAAAATTTTTTTCTCTTGGTTGCCAATATTCCGCCAATATTGGACCAATATTAACAACCGATGCTTGGCGAACCCGTTACATCCCAAGCATCAGCCCATATTGGTCCAATATTGGGAGCCTTTATTGGACCGATGATTGGTCTCTTGGCTTCCAATATTGGACCGATATTGGACCCGTAAGAACTTTCTCACTGGGACCTTATGCGTGTGTTGCGCTGCATAACTATCTTCCTGGCTTAATATTATTTTACATTTCTAAAGAATATTTTTTTTATTTTTTACATTTTTGATGTAAGAAAAGATGATTTATTTTTTACATCAATAATTTTTTATTATTTTAATAGTATTTATTATTATTAAATTATTTTTTAATTAATTTATTAGGAATTTTTACAAATATTTATTTATAAAACGTCAATTTATCCAAAATACTTCATATTGGACTCGTTAGATGCGGATTTTGTAGTGCTTTACAGTACTAACTTTAGAATTGCGTTAACTTTATTTTGTTGTAAAATGTTTCAAATTTTATTAATTTTTATTAATTAAATAATTTATTATTCGAAAACAAAAAAAACGTCATTTTTTTTGTTTTAGTTATTGAAAGTACACATCTTAAGCTTTCTTTTGGTACAAAAAAAAGAAAAAAAAGGGTCCTTCTTGAAAAAAAAATCAAAAAAATTTTTAATTTTCAAAAAAAGGGTTAAATTTTGAATTTTTTTTCAAAATTTTTTTACCATTTGAAAGAGCGTGAAAAAACCTACCAAAAACATACAGGTCAAAATTTTTTTTACTTTTGAATATAGAAGCTACGATTTTTTAGAAAACTCACTGTTCATACTTATCCAACCCTAATCTTCAACCCCCTCCCC